TATTATCATTATCAATATCTTTATTACTCCTTACTTTTTAAATTCCATATTTTTTAGTTGTTTCACTTGATACGGTTCTTTTAAAAAATAAATTTAATTCTATTTAAAAAATATAAGAAGAAAGAACATGAAACTTTTTGTGTGATTATAATTTATGTAGACTAAAATAAATGATATGAAGCACAATTGTTTTCTTAAAAATGAAAAATAATAAACTTTAGAAACAAGCTAAATAGAAACCCGAGAAAGTAATCTTTAATTATTAATGAAAATGTATTATTTCTTTGCTTAACATTGATAATATAAGGATGTGATCTTTTAATAAAAATATTAATGATTATTAATAACATTGATTATCTATATTAAATAACATTTTAGTGCATATATAAATTAAATAATTATTCTAATGTTTATATAAACTAATTATTAAAATATTAAATTAATATTATTCATTAAAAAAATCATAAAATAAAAAATATTATTACATTATAATATGAATGATTATTCTAATATATGAGTTAATTAATTTTGTTTCATTAAAAAATAATCATAAAAAAATATTGATTATATTATAATATGAATTATCATTACAATTTTCAATCAAATCAGAACCAATCAGATCAGATCAGATCAGATCAGATCAGATCCAATCAGATCAGATCAGATCCAATCAGATCAGATCAGATTCAATCAGATCAGATCAGATCCAATCAAATCAGATCCAATCAGATCAGATCAGATCTAATCAGATCAGATCAGAACTATCCAATCAGATCAAATCAGATCAGATCAGATCAGAACTTATTAAAATCAGATCAGATCAGAAAAAATAAGTTGAACGGAACGGAGCCTTAGTCAAAGTATGACAGTATGACACAAAAAATCAAAATAGAGAGTTAAAAAAGAATGGAGAAAGTATATAGGCAAAAGAGATCTCCTAATTATGGAAGACATCAAACCCTTCCATAATACATTTCCTACCAAACTTCCAACAATTAGTTAAGAAGACAATCCCACTAACAACAACAGTATCACAATCCAATAAATAAAACGTCCCGACTTGAGGCTTTATGACCATGTGAATGTACAAGTATAGGATTAGGACTAGGTTATTTAGTAGAAGAATAAAGGATATTGTAAAAGAAATACTCTCTCCTTCGAAAATTAGTTGTCAACTTTCAAAAATGTCTCTTTTCTGAAAGATGAATTAAAAGTGTCAAATATGCCCTTCAAATAAGTTTCACTCATTCTTGTCAACAAAGCCCATGCCATCTCTCTATGACTCAAGGATATTTTAGATAATTCATCTTAATATCTTTATTGGACATAAAAAGAGAACAACTAAATCTAGACAACCAGATACAAGAAAATAGACAATTAAGTCCGGGCAAAAAGAGTAGAAGGATGACATATGATACCCTGCTAATTAAAACATCTCAGTTACTTCCTTAATAGGGTTTTTTAATGAAGCGGACATATGAATTTGAACTGGAGGGATTTGCACAATAACTCATATGTTTGTTTAACAACTATACTAAACCTCTCCATGCAGTGCAGATCTTGAGATCCATGCATGATGCTGGCATTCAACCTGATCTTGGTGTTTATACCGCAGCTATCAAGGTTCAGAGTTCATAATGCATAAAACTTTTTACATTGGGAACAATTGTGATAATGTTCATATGAATTTCTTTGATGATGAACATCTTTCTTGTTTTCATAGACTAGTGTTGAACACAAATATTGGGCGGTTGCTTTTTCGCTGTTAGATGAAATGAAGAAAAGTCAGATAAAGCCTAACATGGTAAGTCAGGATTCTCTGGACTTATGACTCGTATACATGCTCCCATTTGTCTGGTGCCATATCTTAATTAGAATTGAACATGGGGTCATTTTCCTTTTAGGCAATTTATAATGCACTTCTTAGAGCTCGTAGTAGATATGGGTCTTTGAAGGAGGTACAACAATGCCTCACTCTATATCAGGAAATGCGGAAAGCTGGGTAAGATAGTGATACAATTATGTTATTCTAAATTTCCCTTCCCTTGATCTCTACTCTTCAATAACCCAAAAAAGCATTCTGCACAATTGCATCTGGGTCGCATTGGTATACTCCCTCCATCCCGTAAAGATCTTCCTTGTTTGACTTTCATGGAGTTTAAAAGAAGTGTTAAAACGTGAAAACCTTATGGTTAAAATTTGTGTAGAGGAGAGATGAGAGTTGGCAGCCACTCATTCCTTTCTTTTAAAAGAAAGTAGATTACTAGAGTTGGCAGCCACTCATTCCCAAGTTTATTTTGAGTCAGACGAAAAAGGGAAAGAGTGATGTTTTTTACAATGGAGTATGATTTTTCTTTTCACACAAACATGGATTAGAATACAAAAAGAATCATTTACCAGCTTGCTGTAGAGTGTGCCAAAAGTAGATTACTAGATTTGGCCTCATGGAAGCAACATCACTGCATCACAGTTCAATAGCTGGTAATTCTCATAATGTAAAGAGCTTGTTCTAATTAGTACATACGACTCCTATTTGTACATAAAGTCTAGGTTTTGGAGGTATTAATCCTACTAGTATTGGGGTAAGCCCACTTGGTTTATGGTAACATTAGTACTCTTAACATAATACAGAGTATATAACATTCATAAATATTAATCATTCCCAACTTGTTACATAAGTATTTGATCATAGACCCACATAATGCCTTTGTAAAAAGACCTCAAATTGCTCTCTGATCTTCACAAATTCTCTTGATACTAATCATTGATGACATTCATTCTGCTTCACCTTTTCAGACATTGATGTATCCTTTCATGAAGAAAATGCTAATCAACTTCAATGTGCTTAGTTTGTTGAAGAGTAGCTTAATTATCACCCCATAATTTCACAGATGTAGGAGCCTTGAATCCAATTTCATTTAAGAAGTGAATCAAGTGATTGATCCACATGTTACTTGCTGGTTCCTGATGGGACTTTCTAGTTGCACTCCATTAAAATATAAACTCACACTGGTTTGTTCTGATAGTCACTACACTTTTGGCCATAAGTACCCCTTACTCCTATTATTTTTTTGTGGCTAAATTCACTCCAACACTCCCTCCTTGAGCCACCACTAGCATCCCCCAGCCCATCACTCCCTTCCCTTTGGCATTCTCCTAGTAAAGGAAAACTCACAATTCTTCCATATCTCAAGTATTATCCTTTTTTTTTATGCTCCACCTCCATCATCCATCTTTTGCTTCTTCAACTACCATCTTTATCAAGTATTCTCAGAACAAAAAGTTGTCTTTTGCATCTTCAAATTCCTTTCTACTTTGGGTTCCATATCTGAAACAGATATTTGTGGAGAA